GTTGTTTAAAGGAGAAAATTTTTTTGAAGATTGTTAATTAAGAAGCTCATGTTCTGGTCTTTGAGTAGCATGTAGGCCTAGCATTAGCGTAATTAATATTAATGGTAAATTTATGGAACCTTTTTTGTAGCCTCAAGTGTTTACAGAATTTCTTTTACTTTTTTTCACTAACTTTTACCTACCATGTTCGATAAACTCATATCATTTTTTGACATGCTTAAACCTTCTATTTTTGTTCTATACTTTCTTTAACCAGCCATTCTATTATGGAACAAAAATGTACTATACAATATTTTTTCCTATACAATTATATATTTTTCCTTTATCCTTTTTTACTAAAAACATACCTTATACCAACAACTTTTTTACTTTTTTTTTTTTAACCTTAGAGTTCTAACCAAAGCAATAAGTTTATATGCAGTGGAAGGGCTTAGATAGAATTTAATGTAGAACTATTAGGGGAATCCAAAGTTATATAAAGGAAAAAAGCACAGTGGTGATGGCTTAGGGTAAAGAATAATATGAGTTTTAATTTTTGTCATAATGTCCCTTTCCAATAATGGAGCTGGACACGTTGGCATAATAAGGAGAGAGTGCTGAAATATTTTATTTCCCAGAACACATGGAAGTAATGGTGTAGTGAGGAGCCTGGATATAATGCCCTGTACCCCCACAACCAAAAGTGGTGAAGGAAGGAGTGGACCAGGAATTTAAGTAGAGTTGAGCATGTAGCCCCGTATTAATAACAAATGATATAACCCCACCAGTTATTGATATTTCCACCCTAGGCTTGGTTGGTTTAATAGTTAGTTCCGAAGACATTGGGGCTACCAAGTTAGGGGCAAGTCAATCTGACTGGAGCAAGCCCAAGAGATTTCCTTCTGAGATCGTGTAAGATGCCTGGTGTCCCTTAATTGCAGCAAGCCTCTGGGCCATGTGCTCTCCTCCTTCTGGGCAAATGAGGCAATCATGAGCCCAATGTCCATGCTGTTTGCATTTGGGACAGGGTTTTGCTGGTGGGCAGGGCTTGGCAGTCTTTGGCCATATGCCCATTTTGATGGCATCGGGAACAAACCTGGGAAGGGGGCTGTGTACCCCTTCTGCAATTGACCATCTGGGGTGGAAGATTATCAGTGGTGGCTTTTTCTGTTAAAGTGGTAGATAAAAGCTGAAGTGCTTCCCGCTTATGTTGGTGGCCCTGTATTCTTTCCTCCTCTTGGTTGTTAAAGATTTTAAAGGCTGTGTCTAATAGCTCTAATTGAGGGGTTTGTGGGCCCTTTTTTAATTTTTGGAGTTTGTGCCTAATATCTGGTGCTGATTGGGAAATAAAATACATAGCCAAAAGAGTTTGTCCCTCCACAGAGTTTAAATCAATATTAGTAAATTGCTGCAATGTCTCAGAGAGGCAACTTAGAAATATTGCTGGATTTTTATCTGGTCTTTGAAAAACCTCTTTTATTCTGTCCCAGTTAGCCTGTTTATTAACACCTTTTTTGTAGTTAGCTAACAGGATTTATTTACATGATCCCTTTACTTTTGTCTAGGAAGAAGGTTGATATGGTCCCAGTTTAGATATAACTTGAGAGAAATTTATCAAAGAAGAATTTTTTTAACATCCTTTTGTCCCAACCACCCCCTTGAGAAGAGACCTATTAAGCCATGTGGAAAGTTGAATGGGTTTTTTAAGTACATGTGGGGGTGGTGACTTATTTCAGCTTGTAGGGCTGCCACCAGGGGGTTATCAAGCAGTGAGGGGAGGGGGGTAAGAAAGCTGGAGGTTGGGGTCAAGTACTGTGGCCTTTGGCACTGACCCCTTCTCCGAAGGTAAAAGAGAAAGACTGAAGGTCAGGGTTAGGTGTCACGGCCGTAGACGCCAGCCCTTTTTTTCCAAATAAAGGTGGAGGGTGAGAAGGAGGAGAAACTGATGGAGAGTGGAATAGCAAAAGCAGACTACAGAAGGTTTATCTGCTGGGTTAAAGTTAGAGATAGAGGAGGGAGGTGGCAGGATTAGTTGTGTATGATTTAAGACGTTTTTCTATTTGTGAGAGGTCTGAGATAGAGAAGGGGACATGCACCTGAACAATATCCTTTGCGTCCACTACTTCATGGAGGGGAGCGAGGACGACCAGTGTGGCCTTGGATTGGGTTATTGGAGGGTTATACTGGGGAGTGATTGAAAGGGGAGGGCACAGAGGTTGAATTGTTGGAGAAGTGGGTGGAGCTGAAGAAGATGGTGGGGGCGGGGGGAGCCTTGAGCTGTCTGTAAGGAGGGGGCTCCTCCACAGGATTGAAATCTGAGATGGGAGAGGAGGGAGGGGACTTACAGTGCTTGCAGTGGGGGAAAGGGGATTGGAGGAGGAGGCATGGACGCCTGTGAAAGAGTGGGAGGGAGGGAAGCTGTGGAGGGAGTGTTTACGGAGGAGAGAAAAGGACAGAACGTAGGGAATCTCTACCCACCGTTTTGAATGCTCACAGAAATTGTATAAGTCCCATATAATATCGGGATTTAGGGATCCCTGAGGGGCTCACTGATTTTGGTTGTCTAAGGGACATGTTGGCCAGTCCTGTGTGCAGAGGTGAATTAGGCGTTTGGTCTTGATATCAGGAGAGAGAGAAAGTGTAGTGAGATTGTTTAAGAGGCATTTAAGGGGGGAATCGGCTGGCAGGGATGACAAGCCTCCCACGGTGGGACAGGTGGACTAAACGGGGCATCCCCCAAAGAGTCGACTGCCCAAGAAGTGTGGCTGTAGCAAAGCCTGTCGTCACAGGGGTTTGGCACAACTGGGTTCTCCTGGAGAACCAAGGGGTCAAGGCATCTAGCGCTAGGAATTTTCGGAACAGACAGAGAGCACTTGACCGAGCGGCGGGTAGGGAGTGTATTTGCAATTCCTGCTGGTCGAATAGGGTTTCCTGTGGGGCAATAGACGTGGGGACCTCCCAGGTCCATTATCACCCGACAGATGTGGGAGCCCTCCGGAATCCGCTGTGGGCTAGCAGATGTGGGACCCCTGGGGTCCGCTGCAGCCTGACAGCCGTGGGAGTCCTTAAGGGGGGGAGAAATAGAAACCGCTGTGGGTTAGCAGGTGTGGGAACCCTGGGGCCCACTGCAGCCCGACGGCCATGGGAACCCTTAAGGGGGAGGAGAGAGAGAAACCACTGTGGGTTAGCAGACGTGGGACCCCTGGGGCCCGCTGCAGCCCGACAACCATGGGAAACCTTAAGTGGGGGGAGAGAGAGAAACCACTGTGGGTGAGCAGACGTGGGACCCCTGGGGCCCGCTGCAGCCCGACGGCCATGGGAACCCTTGGGGGGGAGAGAGATAAAGAAGAAGAGAAAGCCTTTAGCTGCAGCCTGGCAGCTGTGGGAGTTTTCAGGGTTTGAGAGAGATAAAGGAGAAGAGGAAGCCTTCAGGGTCCGCTGTGGCCCTGAAGGCCGAGGCGGGGTGCATTCCCCCTCGCCCCGGGGTCGGAGGGACTGCTGGACAATCAATGGTTAGTTTCCCCCGGTGGTCCCGGGCAAGTTTTAAGCTTCCATGTCTGGGGAACTCACCTATCCAACAACTGCTGGTGGATGCAGCTCACGCATTCAAAACAGTGGGGAGGTCCAGGAGGGCTGGAGTGGCCACAGGCACTGGGTGGGGGCTCCCGCCCATGGGAATACACCCGCACAGAGGCGAGGGAGCACCCAATCTGAGTCACGGCACCAATGAAAGGACTTCGGCGCCAGTGACAACTCCACACCTGTTATAGACCAAGAGATTTATTAAAGTGGCGGCCACAGGGGAAAAAGGGAAAGGGTCTATGGCTGCGGGGTTGGGGAGGGAGAGAGAGAAGGGGAGAGAGAGAGAGAGAGAGAGAGAGAGAGAGAAAAGGAGAGGGGGAGAGAGGGCGAGAGAGAGAGCTATGCAGGGAGAGGGTTGTATTTATTAGCCTGACAGTGACTGGAAGGGGCAGCGCTAGGTTTATTGGAGAAGCGGCCTGGGAGCAGGTGGGCAGACGCCATGTTGTAGGCCCATTGGACGTACAACAAAGCTACATTATAGAAAATTACTGGATGCGTGCTAGGGGAACCATGCGTGAAGAAGCCAGAACCTAGGGCCTTTGTTGTCTAGGGTGGCAGCGCCATCTTGGGGACACCCTTCTGACTATTCTCTGTGCCCTTCAGCTATCATTCAATATTCAAATATTTCTAGTGGAGACAAGTTGTTTTAAAATTGTTTTTATCACCTAGTAGCCTCTGAAATATTAGTTTAGCATTTACAATTTTGTTTTGTGTTTCATAATTGTTCATAATAATTTTTAAAAATGAAATCAACATATGGTGTAAGTGATTTCTCTTCTTTTCTAAATCTTACAGTTTCTGCAACCCTTGCTGATGAAAGAGGGAGACTGAGAGATGAATTCATTCATAAGTACCTGTATGAGATAGAGCACATGCTGTCCTCTGCAGTCTTGGACTTTCAAAATAAACAAATATATGGCTTCTGTTATCAAGTGCCATACATCTGTAGCTATCTTCTTCCTGAACAAGTATGCCAAAATTTAAGCATGCTATCATTTGTTTTAGCAATTGAGATTAAAACAGTGAACTAATTAGACTTGATCCTCTTGACTACTTTAACAGAATAACTCTGTTATAGTAACATAATTTCACTGAATTAGATACATTAGTGTTATTTGGTAACCCATCATAAAACATATTTGAGCACCCTTACACTGTGCCACATATATCATACTTGTCAGATAAATAGGCAGATGACACAATATTATTGCCTAAAGAACAATCTAACGTTGGAAAATCTGCTACAAGGTAGATAACTTTCAATGGAACTTTGTACTTGCATCCTAAGCAAAATTGCAAAAAAGTAATTAAACTATGTTTCTGGCATCCTCTCATCACTCTTTCTTCAAAGTTCTCCCATATTGTGTCACCTCCTGTTGCACATACTGGCCCAGCGCCCTCCTGCTTGCTGTTTTTGGCCATTCAGTTTCCCACTAGTGCCTATCTTCCTGCCCCAGTAGTACCTACCTTCCTTTCTCTCTAAATTCTTTAATCAAAGCTCTTCTCTCCCAGAGTAGCCAGAATTAGACACAGAAATTTAGAGAAGGAAGAAATGTTCATAGTAAGGAGGAAAGTTTCATGGAGGAAGCAATATTTGAATTACATCTTGAAGAACTGGTCAGATTTAGACTTGGAGACATGTGCAATCTTGGGAGCAGTGCCCATATAGAGAGGTGGGGCAGGGCAGGCTGGAATAGTGTACAGGAAGGTATTCCAGACAAACACAGGTGCCCACTTTATCCTTTCTCAGTTTATTTACAATGACAATGCTTGCAGATTTGAATCTTATTGTATATGCATGTGCATCTGCAAACCAGAAGGTACTGCTCATATGATCCTTTCTTTTATTGGCAGGAACACCATGGTGTTTGCATTCTTAAACCACACCAAAAAATGCAAAGCAGACATTATGGACCTGGAATGCTCTATCTATCTTCACATGGATTGTGGCTTGTAACAATAGCTAGATGTGGAATTCTGTGTATCCGAGATGCTTATACTTTGGTAAGCTCTGAAAAAGAAATGGAGGTATATATTGATCTCATATTGAACAAAGGCCCTTAGAAAAGGAATTAAAACTCTTAAGTAAATTGACTCAGCTTTATTTTTAACTATGGTTGGTATTAATGACTTTAACAGTTGTATGGGTGTTTTTATGTTAAAAGGTAGGAATCTCTAAGGGAGGAGACTCCAAGCAAATAATGAGCACTGAGCAGGGTATCATGAATGAGTACTAACCCAGCTTGATCATCAGCTAGTTTTGTGTTTTGGAAATACATGGAGCACCACTGAGTTTCTTGCTCACCTGTTGAATTAGGGAAGCCTCCCATGCTCTTGCCCTGTGAGAGCCTGATGAGAGGGCTGATGCAAAAACTACTTTGGAAATAGTGAGTTGCTGTGCAAACATGCTATCTTCCTGGCTTGGAGAGCCTCTGGGTTGGTTGCTCCTGCTTCACTGGACACTTCATGTGATGCTAGAAGAGCAGAAGGGAGCAAGGTGTGGCTCTTACTTAGTCTTCCTCCATCACTTGCAGACTTCAGTGTCACCACCATTCCTGACGTTTCTGATTTTCATTGCCCTCAGACCTCTGAGAAAGTGAATGAAAAGAGTTGCTTCTCCCAAAAAGGTGGGAAATCCTTTTCTAGGTTTTGAGAATGAGTTGTACTGGTCATCAGTATAATTTGATTGGTCAGTGGCTCTTATCCAGTTTTCTACCCCACACACTCGTGTGACATACTCCCTCTTGCTGTAGGACAAGCTGGACCCCTGGTTGTGCACATTCTGACACATTTTGCTCACCTCTAGAAGAAAGCATATTTGGAATACAACTGGGAAAAAGTGATATTACTATACAGGCAACATTTTTAATCTCTTAAAGATTATTTTTAAGTGAAAGTTTTGTAAACTCTATTGCACCATGTATTATTCAAATGAGTTGTAAAGTACGGTACAACTAAGAATGGCAAGACAAGGCAAGAGTTGTCCTGAATAATTCTGTTACCTATGCTCACATGAAAATCACCTCATGCATGAGGTTATTCATGGAAGCACTGTTTGTAAAAGCAATATAATGTTCATCGACAGAAGCATGGTTAAATAAATAATGGGGAGACTTCCAGCAAGATGACTATGGAACAGGTCGAACTGTGAGAGTCTCCACAAAAACCCATGTCCATAAAGACTCTCTGCAAGAATGAGCATGTGTCAGAGGGTGAGTGAAAGTCCATCTGAGGGCTCATGTACTAGGGCTCTCCTTAAGAGGAGACTACAACCTCCCACCACCCTGAGATTGGAACCGCCAGCGTGCAGGATCCTCTGCTGTTCTCAGGACTCTCCTGAGAAAAACCTGCCCAATACAGCTGATTCTCATCACCTAGTACTTAGCCCACACCATCACCTGCAACTGCAAAGCAGCTGGAACCCCCCTAGGTCTGATTGGTGGAGAGAGAGGATTAAAAGAGCCCAAGAGAGAAGCTCCACCACTGAGGAAAGATCAACTGGAGCCACTTTCTTTGTCCTGGGACCAGGTAGAGACCTGCATTGCCTAGCCCAGCTCCACTCAGCCTCCAACTTGGGACCTAGAGGTAATCTCATCAAACTCAGAGAGACAGACATCCCTCCCCCTTTCTGGATCGGACACAGACACGTCAGATAGAGTGGCAGACTTGACAGGCAGCAAGCCCAGTGAGTCCAGATCTGATCCACTGTCCTCCTGCAGTAGGCCTGGGGCATTTGACCCACGCTGGGAGCAATCCTATCAGCCTGCGCTGAGAGTAGAGGGGAGGGGCTGGAGATCAGAGCTGAAAGGAAGTTGGACTTAAATGAATGACCTCAGACAATGTTTTGGTTTTTTTGTCTGTTTGTTTTGCTCATTTTTGTTTGTTTTGCTTTCGTTTTTTTCTCTCTTTATGTTTTTAATTACTTTCTCATACTTGCTTTGTTCCTGTTATTCTATTGCTGTTTTTTTTAGACTTCCTGTTTGTGTATGTATATTTTTGAGGGAGGTATCAACAGGGGTGTTTCTGTTGGTTTGTGTGTTTGTATGGTTGTCTATACATTTTAGTTTTTAAAAATCTTTTCTGTCCTTGTGTCTCTTTTTATTTGTTAGTTGGTATATCCATCTGTTTTCTCTCTTACTCTTCTCTCTCCACCTTCCTATCACCATTCCCTTCCCTTTTCCATTCTTTTCCTTTCCCTTACCTCATTTTGCTTTCAGTAAGCAAACCTACACCCCCACTGCATGGACAGATTGTAAGGCAGTGGGAAGTGGGGTCCAGGAGGTCCACACACCTGTCAGCAGATATTGGGATCTGCAGATAGATTCTGAATCACAAATACCCCCTCAATTAAATCTCAAAATCACAAAAAAGTACAGCCCTCAACCCACAGTCCAGCTTCAGAATTGAACAAAGTCAGAGGATCCACATAAGGAAGTTTAGGAGATTGAGCAAACAGAAGTAAAAGCTACCTCCTCCCCCCTCCCTCAACAACAGAATTAAAGAAGAGTTTTTAAAAAGGGGGGAGGGAGGAAAATCTACACAAATGAAGAAAAACCAAACGAAGAATATGGGTCTTACACAGACCCCCAGGAGGTCAGACACTGAGAATACAGACTTCAGAACGCAAACAATGAAGAGCCCCCAGAATGACTGGTCTCAAACTACAAACCCAGATATAAAGACTTTAATAGAGAAATTAAAAAGAATTAAGGAGAGACAAGAGGAAAATAGGAGGAAGTTGATAACTGAGATAACAGCAATAAAGAATACTGTGAATGAAATAAATAACAAACTGATAAACATGGAAAGCAGAATTAGTCAAGCAGAAGAAAGAATCTCAGAGCTTGAGGACCAAAGTATGGAACTAACCCAAACTGTCAAAAACATAGAAAAGAAGCTTTAAAAGGCAGAACAAAACCTTCAAGAGATGAGTGATATTTTAAGAGGTCGAACCTAAGAATAATTGGACTTCCTGAGGCAGAGAGACAGAGACCACCCTGGAACAAACATTCTATGAAATTATCCAAGAAAATTTCCCTCATCTCATCAGTGATGCAACCATTCAAACACAAGAGACTCAGAGAACCCCTGCAAGACAAGAAATGAGAAGACCAACTCCTAGCCTCATAGTAATTTGCCTACACAAATAAAAAATAAAAAATCCTAAAGGCAACAAGAGAAAAAGGTCTGACTGCCTACCAGGGAAGACCAATTAGAATAGTAGCAGATTTATCTACAGAAACACTTCAGGCTAGGAGAGCTGGGAGCCCAATCTTCAAAGTTCTCAAAGATAAACAATTTCAACCAAGAATTAGTTGGTACGTCTGTCTGTTTTCCCTCTTACCTTCTCTTTCCACCTTCCTATCACCACTCCCTTCCTTTTCCATTCTTTTCTTTCCCTTACTTCATTTTGCCTTCAGGAAGCAAACCTACACCCCCACTGCATGGACAGATTGTAAGACAGTGGGAAGTGGGTTCCAGTAGGCCCACACACCTGTCAGCAGAAACTGGGATCTGTAGATAGATTCTGAATCACAGCATTACCTACCCAGCTAATCTAAGCTTCATCAGCAATAGAAAATTAAAATCTTTCCCAGACATGCAATCCCTAAGAGCTTACATTGCCTCCAGACCAGAAACACTTAAGAAACACTTAAGAAAGTATTAAACACAGAAGAAAGGAAAAAAAGAATGACAATGCCCTTAACAAGAATGGAGGAAAAAGATTGAAAACACACATGAATCAACCCAGAAATCAAAAGAGGACAACAAACACCAACAACAACATCAAACTCTTTAAGAACCTCATGACAGGGATAAACTCACATTTCAAAAATTAGCCTGAATATGAATGGACTAAATGTACCACTGACATAGAATGGCAAAATGGATCAAATATCATGAGGCAACAATATATTATCTCCAAGAGACTCATCTCACCAGAAAAGACACAGACTCAAAGAAGAGGATGGGAAACAAAATTTCAGGTGAACGGAACACAAAAGAAACCAGTTGTGATCTTAATATCAGACAAAATACCCTTTAAGCTATCAAAAATTTAAAAAGATACAGAAGGTCATTACATAATGATAAAAGGTTCAATTCATCAAGAAATATCCATCCTAAACATATATACACCCAACATAAGAGCACTAACTTTCATCAAGCAACTTCTACATAAACTTTAAAAAGATATTGACTCTAACACTATCATAGCTGGGGACTTTAATACCCCACTCACAACCCTAGACAGATCATCAAGACAAAAAATCAATGAGGAGATTCAGAACCTCCATGTGACACTTGACCAAATGGACTTAATTGATACCTGGAGAACACTCCACCCAACAACCATGGAATATACATTCTACTCATCACCACATGGAAAGTACTCTAAGATCGACCACATCCTTGGCCATAAATAAAGCAAAACAAATTTCATAAGATTGAAATTCTGCCATGCACCTTCTCAGACCACAGTGGAATAAAAATAAATATTTACACCAACAAAATTTCCCCAAAACCCACAAAGTTTCCCCAAAACACTAAACAGCATGATGCTAAGCAACTCCTGGGTCAATATGGAAATCAAAACAGAGATTAAAAGATACCTGGAAACAAATGAAAATGAAGAAACGTCTTATCAAAATCTCTGGGATGCCATGAAAGAAGTAACTCGTATCTCTGCAAACACACATGGAGAAAATGGAAAGGGCACAAATTAACAGCCTAACAAATCACCTAAGGTAGCTGGAAAAGCAAGACCACCAAAACCCTAATTTCAGCAGAAGAATCCAGATCACCAAAATAAAAGCCCAAATTCAGGACATAGAAGACAACAAGATAATACAAAAAATCAATGAAACAAAAAGCTGGTTCTTTGAAAGATTAAACAAGATTGATGGTCCCCTAGCTAGACTGACCAAGAAAAAGAGAGGAAAAAGCCCAAATAAATGCAATCAGAAATGCAAAAGATCAAGTCACAACTGACCCTGAAGAAATGAAAAAGATTATCAGAGACTACTATGCACACTTATATGGAAACAAACTAGAAAATCTAAAGGAAATGGAGGGCTTTCTGACATCACAAAACCTCCCCAAGTTGAAACAAGAAGAAATCAAGACACTTAATAGACCAATAACAATCCAGGGAACTGACTATGTCATAAGAAAACTACCTACATAAACAAAACAAAACAAAACAAAACAAAAAACCCTGAACCAAATGGCTTTCCAGCAGAATTCTACAAAACATCTAAGGAGGAACTGATACCATTCCTGCTGAAGGTATTCCAGGCAATAGAGATAGATGGAACTCTACCCAAATCATTTTACGAAGCTAACATCACATTGATACCCAAACCAGGTAGATCCAACAAAGAAAGAGAACTACAGGCCAATATCCTTAAAGAACATAGATACTAAAATGCTCAACAAGATCCTTGCAAATTGAATTCAACAAAACATCTCAAAAATCATCCAGCATGACCAAGTAGCCTTCATCCCCGGGATGCAGGGTTGGTTCAACATTTGTAAATCCATAAATGTAATTAAATACATCAACAGATGTAAAAACAAAAACCACGTGATTATATCATTACATGGAAAAAGCTTTTGACAAAATTCAGCACCTCTTCTTGATAAAAACTCTCAAACATCTAGGCATAGATGAAACATACCTCAAAATAGTAAGAGCCATCTACGAGAAACCCAAAGCCAGCATACTGCTAAACAGACAGAAATTGGAACTATTTCCCTTGAAAACCAGAACAAGACAAGGATGGCCACTCTTACCCCTCCTTTTCAACATAGTTTTGGAAGTCCTAGCTAGAGCAACCAGACAAGAAAAGGAGATTGGAGTATCCAAATAGGAAAAGAGGAAGTCAAGTTATCCCTCTTTGCAGACGACATTATTCTATACCTTGAAAATCCAAGAGAATCTGTCAAAAACCTCCTTGCACTGATAAAGGACTTTGGTGAAGTCTCAGGGTATAAAATCAATGTGCAAAAGATAATCACATTTCTATACACCACCAACAAACAAACAGAAACCCAAATAAAAAGAACAATCCATTCACAATAGCCAGAAAAAAAAATGAAATACCTTGGCATCTTCCTAACCAGAGATGTGAAAGACTTTTCCAATGAATACTACAAAACACTGCTTAAAGAAATCAAAGATGTCACAAACAAATGGAAAAATATTCCATGCTCATGGATTAGAAGACTCAACATTGTTAAGATGTCCATCCTACCCAAGGCAATCTACAGATTTAATGCAATACCCATTAAATTATCAGCAGCGTTCTTCTCAAAACTGGAAACAACAATACAGGAATTCATATGGAAACATAAATGACCATGAATTGCAAAAACAATCTTCAGCAATAAAACAAAACAGGAGATACCACATTCCCAGACTTTAAACTCTATTATAAAGCTACAATAATCAAGACAGCCTGGTACTGGTACAAAAACAGGCATATAGACCAATGGAACATGATAGAGATTCCAGAAACAAAACCTCAATTTCTTAACCAACTCATCTTTGACAAGCCTCCACCATCAACAACTGGGGAGAGGAGAACCTATTCAGTAAATGGTACTGGGAAAACTGGCTGACCACAGGCAGAAGATTTAAACAAGATTCCTACCTCTCCCCATACACAAAAATCAGCTCTAAATGGATCAAAGACCTAAATGTAAAACCTCAAACTATAAGAACCTTAGAAAATGCAGGAGACACCCTTATGAAAATTGGAACTGGCAACCAATTCCTGATCAAAACCCCAAGTGCCCATGCCACAAAAGATAAGATAGACAAGTGGGACCTCATCAAACTGACTAGCTTCTGCAAAGCCAAAGAAACCATCAAGAGAGCAGAGAGACAGCCTAGAGCATGGGAAAAAAATATTTGCCAACTGTATGTCTGACAAAAGGCCTAACATCTAGGATCTACAAGGAACTCAAACATGCCAAAAAGAAAAAAACAAACAGCCCCATTACAAAGTGGGCAAAAGATATTAATAGATACTTCTCAAAAGAAGACATACAAGCAGCCAACAGATACATGAAAAATGCTCAGCCTCACTAGTCATCAAAGAAATGCAAATTAAAACTACACTGAGATATCATCTAACTCCAGTCAAGATGGTTATCATCAATAACTCAAAAAAACAAAAACAAAAACAGATGCTGGAGAGGATGTGGTGAAAAGAGAGCATTTCTACACTGTTCGTGGGAGTGTAAACTAGTACAGCCTCTGTGGAAAACAGTGTGGCGATTTCTAAAAGATGAAAAAATTAACTTTCCATATGACCCCGCAATCCCTCTACTGGGAATGTACCCTGGAGGACTCAAATCACACTATAAAGAAGTTACCTGCACACATATGTTTATTGTGGCATTGTTTATAGTAGCAAGAACATGGAACCAACCATGCTGCCCATCAAAAGAGGACTGGATTTAAAAAAATGTGATACATATGCATGATGGAATATTACGTAGCCATAAAGAAGAACAAAATAATGAACTTCATAGCAACCTGGATGGACTTAGAGTAATACTGAGTAATCTTTCACAGAAACAAAGAACTGAGTATCATATATTCTCACTCATAAGCAGACCTTGAACAATTATCCTAATACTATAAGAAAAGGATTAGCAGTAGCAGGAAACTGCTGGGGTGGGGGGGGAGACAGGGAAGCGGGATTGGCAGTAGTGGGAGTTTGCCTGGGGAAGGAGGGCCACACCTCATCAACAATGGTACCTGCATAATGAACATTTGTATACCTAACCCTGAATTTTATCCCACATCTTTAAAATAAAAAAATTAAAAGTTAAAAATTTTTTACATAAAATAAAATTAAAATGAACTTTTAGTTTTATGAATAAATAAATAAATAAAGGTACATAATAAGTACATAAATAAAATATGGACTATTATACAGTTGTAATACAGAATGAGGAAAATTTTATGTAACAATATAGAAAGAACTCCAAGATATACTGATTGTTAAGGGGAAAAGCAAGGCGAGTAACATATGTATTATGTTATCATTTGTGTTAGAAAAAATGTTTATTTGTAGAAAAATGTATTTCTATATGCACTAAAATACTTGAAAAGATATTGAAGGTACAAATTATATTGTTTGCTATTGAAGGTATTAGGGCATGGAAACAGGAAGATTTTGTGACATACTCTTTTATGGTTTTTGAATTTTGAACCATCTGAATATATTGCGTATTCAAAAAGTTACAGTAAAAAAAGGCATCATGGTTTAGTACTAGTGTTACACGGAGACCTTGGTTTTTAGTCAAGGAGTTTTACCTGTTGCCCTACGTATTAAATTGGTGATGTGTTATGTATGGGTTGTAATTAACTGGTTTCATTAACATTCAGGTTGTCTTCCATTCTACTCAGTGCCCTTCACCCTCTCTCATCACATTCTAGCTGCTTTGTACATAAATGGAACTTGTCTGGTTCTTGGAGGTGTCTCTCCCTTCTTAAGGCTCTTCTCCTAGTTTTGTAGCCTTTTGCATCTCATTCACTTCTCTGTGTCTGATTTCTGATTAGAAGTTGTTGATAATAATCCCTTTCCTTCTATACTACACAGAGATAGTTGGAGAATAAGTCAGAATTGGTGAGTGTGGTTTATATTAGGAATCTTAAAAACTTTGTATTACCATGAGGCTATTTCCACACCACCTAAAATGCTGTTAGCAAATTGGAAAGAATTTATTAACAGGCAAAAGTTCATATAACCCCATTAGAAAATCATGTGATAGAACTGCATTTATAATTTCTCCACTTTTTTTCCTAAAACTATTGAGGAAACATTTGCTCGGTGTCGAAGCCATTCTCACCAGGGACATGGAATTCAGTCAATGAGGATTTCAATGGATGGACAAGACATTCTGGTGAATGGGAGAGATGATGGCACCCTTGTCTACCTGAAATGGAAGTACGTACACTATGCAGTAAGCAACTCCATATGGTACAGTTTTATTATTACTTAAGTACAGCAAAGCCAATATACCAGGAGACAACTGCCAGTAAAAAGAAAGTTTGTTATACTCACAGATCACAAGGGGAGAGGGCACGCCATGGCAGAGACCACATGGGAAAGCTCTAAGATGGGTCAGGAGACTGGGGGAGTAGGGAATATGTAGATAAGAGTCTTTGGCATGATTTCTACAGGAAGGATTGGGCAGACTTAGGATTGGCTAGTTTGAATAATGTCAGTGGGTTCTGGGGCATAGGGGATACCACTAGTTATCTAGTATTTGGCCCTGTGGTGATTAGGGCAGGGAAATAGTGGCACTGATTGTGAAAGCCTCTCAGAGGAGGTGGTTGAATATGTAGCCTCTGGACTAGTTAGCTTGCATTTAAAAGGCAAGCTCCTGGGCCAGCTGTTCACTATCTCTAGGATTTGGCTAGACCTCAGTGGGGTAGTCCCCGGGGTCAGCAAGGCCCCAAATACCAAAGTATCAAAATATAAAAAACGACATAGCTAATATGTATGAGAGTGATCAGTGGAGGAACATAAGAAATGAGGACAAGTCTGAACATTAGATAACTTAAAAATGCCTACTTATTCCTAAATAACTTGATACATATATGTATGTGTACAAATACATGTTTGCTATCCTAATTAGATCTTACTTAGATTATATTAAATTATTTAGACTTTGCTTAGACTAAAATTAAAATTCTAAATGAACAATCACTACCCAAACATGTAGATGATAACCATGGGTAGAGAGCATGAAGGCAACATGAAGAAGGCAGCCTGGACATTCAGTGTTGTCTTGTTTGACCTGCTGATGGTCAACATGCAAATCGTTTCAGCAAAAATAATTTTTTCACAGTGCTTCGTAAAATCAAAGCAGTAATAAAACATGGCCTTTCTCAGCAACATTGTGAAAATGTTAAATTCTATGGAGATTTTGAAACATGACAATTTTGGTAGTCACATGTTACTTTGTGTAGATATGGTTCGGTACGTGGAAATAATACTGCTGAATGTGATTTTTTAAGAAATTATCATTTTGTAGCCTGTGTGTTTTCTTTTTTATTAATATAGGCAGTTTGGAGGAAATTTAGCCAATGAAATTCTTGACTATTGCCAGAAACTGTTAACTTCTCTGAGCAGCACAATGGACAAGGAGAATGATTATTTAAGTACACCACCAGAAGTTTCCTTAGATTTGGGATCCGAATCTGAACACACAGTTGAGTTTGCATACGGCTTGCTTGCCTGCTTTTTCTTCTTTGTAAACCATATAGACATTTCCAGTTTGTGGGGGTTTTTCTTTAAAGCAGATATTTAGTAATTTTCTCTTTGTCCAGGTATTTCATGATTCTCAAAAAGTATAAACTACATCTGAGAAAAATTATTCAGCCTTCCTCATAGTGCTTGCAAATAGTACATTTCAGATCTCATTTAAACTATAGTACAATGGTTTTTTTCTGTACTTGCCTGGAAAAAAAATCCACCAACACTGGTGCTTGCTTGGACAGAACAGTCTCTTTGTAATTTCATACCACATGCATTATTTAGGAAGCATCTAGCTGGAGGACAACTTTCACTCATTCATTTAACAAATATTTATTGGGGGTCTAGGGCTAGGCTGTGGGGGATATAACCATGAACAAGTTTCTACTTTCATGGAGTTTACATTCTAATTGGGGACTGGGTGTGATCAAGTAGAGACAGATAAATAAACAAATACATAAGAAACAATTGGATAGTAACAAATTATTTTCAATGAATAAAAATAGGTTGATATGATAGTGTTTGGCTGGATAGCCTCACCAAGGAGAAGACATTTAAACTGAGAACTGAATTAAAGGAGGATGCCACCATGGAAAGGTGGAGGTTTGTGCGAAAGTACTTAGGGAAGAGGAGGCAAGAGCTTGATATGTGATGGGCGAGAACCTTAGAAAGGCCTGTGCAGTTGAAGTGAGCAAGGCAAAAGTGGTAGGAGATGAGGTCCTCAAAGTAGCAGGAGACCAGGTAATGAAGAGCTTTATATATCAAGTAAAGAGCTTGGATTTTATTTTACATGTAATGAGTACCTAATCAAGTGTTCTGAGCAAAGGATTAACAAGATCTTGTTTACATTTTTGAAATGATTATTTGCTGCTGTATGGAGAATGTTTTCTTAGGGGACAAGAGTGGAAGCAGGGAGATCACTCAGGAGCTTAAGGAAGAGGTCCAGGTAAAAATGACTAAGGTGAAGGAGACTTGTGCAAGAGGAAATAAGTGGTAGATTCCAAATCGATTTCAGAGATAGAGTTGATAGAACTCACTGATGGATTGGAGATAGAAAGAAAAAGAAAGGACTCAAGGACAATTCCTAGATTGTTCTACTCGAACAACTATGTAGAAGTGGTGTAATTAATGGAAATGGGGCAGGCTGGGGGAGAAAAAAGGGAATTTGAAATCAGTTTTAGCCACACCGAACTCAGGAAGCCTTTTAGACATCCAAGTGGAGCTACCAGTTAAGCATTGGCTAGATGAGCCTTGAGTCCCGGGAAGAGACCAGGACTGAATATGCTGATTTGGGAGTCAAGGAATTTAAAGCCATAAAACTATGTAATATTGTCATGGAAACGTGAAGGGCAAGAAGCAGAAAATGATAAGACAAGGCAACTTCTAGAGAAGAGTTCAAGGACACAGAGGAGTCTGAGAAGGGGCAACCAGTTTTGTTACAGGAGAACCAGGAGACAGTGTGACATCCCAAAATGTCTTTTAAGACATTTTTCTGCAAAGGGGAACATAGAAATAGGATGGTGGCTAAAAAGGAATGTGATGGTCAACCAAAAGAGTAGTTTTAGATACTAGAGCATGTTTGGTTGCTGTTGGGAAAGATCAAGGAGAAGGGAGAAATAAATGGCACAGAGAGAGATGGAATTTTTTTTAAAAAAAGAGTGTAAAGACCTCAAGAAGGAGGAAACAATTAAGATCTTAAGCACAGATAGTGGTATAGGCATTTGGGCCACAGTAACAGAAAGAGGGCAAAGAGTGGTGACAGTGTGACCTATCTGATCATCTCTGTTTTTCAGTGGAAGTCGTGGCTGATGTAAGGACAGACTGGTAGAAATTAAAATAATGAGACATTACATCTTGGGCTACAAAATTTGTGGTATTATTTTCAAAACGTAACAAATGCAAAGAGAGTTAAAGCAATGTATAAAGTGGGGTGGGATAGGGAGAACTTGATGAATTTTTAAATTTAAGAAATGTCTGTCTTTTTCTAAGATATATCAGGATAAGAGGTCAAGCATTGACTTATCATCACAAGAAGAATTAGTCCTAACTGATATTCTAAAGGAAACTTCCTGGATACAACAAAAAAGTCAAGAGGTATTTATAATACATGGAATAAGTTTGAAATAATTCTCTGTAGGTATGCTAAATAAATGAGTTTCCTACGGATACCTATTGAACAATTGGAAAGAAATAGTACTTGACAGAGCATTGCATTGTACAAGTATAACTTTCCTGAAAGCATATAATCACCCTGAACACAGCCCAGTCTTTTAGATCAAGTTATTTATCTTGAACTTTAAGAACTCTATGTAGGTTAGCATAAAAACGGACAAAAAATGTCCAGGTAAGTCACAGAAAAGGATGAAATGTGATACTTCATTTTGGAGTGAGTTTGGGGGATGCTTGTCTTAAAGAAAAGGGTAGGCCAGGAATAGGGTAATGCTGTGGTTGCAGCTGAAGGTGACATAGGCAGACTGATTATAGCTCATATCTGGAGTTAGCCTATTGTTCTAGTCTCACTCAGGTTCCCAGTAAAAGAATATAATGGTTTCTTTCTGTCAACTATTCACTATTTAACTTTTTACTAAGTCATTATTTTCTTTCTATTGGTCCTACAGTTGACATCAGCTTCAAGTTGCTTCAGTGGTTGCTTACATAGTAGCATAGATTTAAGTAAGGCATTGCAGTGGTGGTATTTCATGTATGCTTTTTACTAATAGAGTATAAATTTTAAATTTCTGTTTCTAGAGAAGTTTTCTTTTTTTTTTTCTCTCTCTCTCCCTTTCTCTCTCTCTCATTTATCTTGCTTTGTTTCAGGCCATCAAAAAGGAGGTTAATCTGTTTTCCAAGAAAAGGAAAGAGATAAAAAAAGGAATCAAGGAAATTACTAAAACTGTAAGTATACATTTGGCCCTTGTTCTAAAATTACTTTTTGAACTTGATTTCGTTCAACCCAGTGTGAAGAATGATACCTTTTTATTCGCTGCCTGTAAGCTCAGTTTTCTAATGTACTTTAACAGGTTAGAAGTTTTACCATATCACAATCTATATAAACAGTAGTTTTCTTCTATCTTCCCATAAATACCCTGTCTTATTTGGTTTTTTAATACTTAATTTTAATCAAAGTTAGGCATTTATAGTTTTACAAGTTAAATAATGTTGAATTATATAGTTAAAAATAATGTTTTTAAAGCAGTACCTGTCCTACTTCTCTTGACTCTGATTCCTATACTACTGAAGTAATTGTTTTCATTCTTTCATTTTATTGTTTGGCTATTTATCTTCATCTTTTTAAATATTCTTCTTAATATAGTTGGGTATTTTTATATTTCTATTTTAACACTAACTATGGGCCACCTGGTATGAAAGATGAGTAGTTAGGTTCATTTACATTCTCCACCACAACAATATATGTATAAATCCATGCTCAGTATACTCACTAATATAGTTATGTATATATTCTAAAGCTGAGCCACATACTGTTATGATTACATTTCCATTTTTGCAACATTATTTTATTTTTCTTGGTAGCAATAATCGCCTTTGTTTTAGATTAAGCCTTTTAATGCTAGAAAACTCTTCTCAATACTGTTAAATACCTGAAGCAATTAATCTGTCAATGCAGTTTTTTTTTTTTTGCAACTCCCTTCTAGAGTTTTCAGTTCCAGTCTGAACATCTTGCACTTTCTCTGTAGAACAGGTACACGGTTACTGTCCTAGAGACTCCTCTTCCTCTCATCTGCCTCTTGAGTTGGAGTCCCTGTTTCCTGGATCCCATAGGTGATTTTGTTTGTTTTCTTGGTGTGCATCTTTCAGCAGTCTCCTAAGCAGGGTTGCTCCGTTGCCCCATGCTTGGGAACATCCCTTTATAACATAGATGTGTTTCTGCAGTGCCATCTAAATGAGAGCCATTGTGAATGGTGCCTGCCCCCTAGAGCTCTAAGGAGTGTTGGCTCTGTTCTTGAGAAGAAGTGCAGGAGATGTACATTTTTTGTGATGTGGTTTTTCTTAAAATGTCTTTACATGTTCTCACATCCATTTGATAGTTTGCCTAGATGTATAATGATTTCTCCTCAGAATTTTGAAGACTATCATATCTTCTGAAAATAACATGACTCATCTTTTTTTTTTTTGATACAGAGTCTCACTCTGGCACCCAGGCTGGAGTGCAGTGGCCCAGTTATAGCTTACTGCAGCCTCAAACTCCTGGGCTCAAGCATTCCTTTTACCTCAGCTTCCCGAGTAGCTAGGTCTACAGGGATGTGCCACCACACCAGTTTTTAAAATTATTTTTATTTTTTTTAGAGATGAGGTTTCATCATGTTGTCCAGGATTGTCTCAAACTCCTGGCCTCAAGCATTCCTCCTGCCTCAGCCTCTAAAGCACTGAGATTGCAAGCATGAGCCACCATGCCTGGGCTTACCGATCTTTACATTTCATTTATTTTTCTTGTCTTATGATCCTTTTTATGAAATATAATATTTTGTATCCCTAGTCACTGTAAAGTCTACTTTTCTTGCTTAACTGACTATTTCTTTGAGTAACAAGTCTTATGTTTGTTGAATTTCTCTCTTCAATGATCTTGCTGCTCTTTAAATATTTCATGATTTATTATTATTGGTGCATGTTCATCTTTATAATTGAAACTCCCTGTTAAAATTCCGCAACACCAGCTCAGTATGCTTGGGAAGAAGTGCAGGAAATCTGACTTTAGCATGTATTCTGTTTTCAGTAAAAGGAGAAGCAGAGGATGGTGTTGGGAAGTATTTTGACAGCCTATCTTGTGGGTGGAGGAGTGTTCTCCATTCCTTCTAGGCACTGACAGATTCCTTGGGCATTGCCCTGTTCCTTTCACCCAAATATTTATTCTAGTTGCTTCTACCTGGAAACAAACCCCATTACTTCTCCCAGGCCACAGGGAGCCTTACTAGGAGATACATGCAGGTTCTATGTACTACCTGTTCCTGATTCAGCACCTCAACTAATCAATCTGCCAATTATTTTTAGGTAATCATGTGTTCTTGTATCTGGTGTAACTTCTACCTTTTGTTGAGTATTGTCCTAAGGGCATTTGGGACTATGATGTATCCTTCTGATCCATCTGATATTCATCTTTCAATCATTACAGTTTTTATGCTCCCGAAGGATTCTGTTTCTTTTTTTTTTTTCTTCTTCTTAATTGCAGTAATGGATTTATCTGGTTATTTTTCTCTTAAATTTATGTTTTGGGGCAAAAAAGGAAGATTATTTAACCATTCTCATTCTATCATTTTGAAACGGAAGTCCCCATTTTTTTCTATCATGTTGTCTGCTTTGTTTTTGTTGATTTGTAGGGGTTTTTTATATGTTAAAAATGTCAGTACTTTGTCATATATGTTGCAGTGTATATCCTTTGCCCCTAAATTTTTGAAGTTATGAGATTTTAAGGATAATTTTTATTGTATAAAAGTTCAAACTTATACAAAGCGGAGGGACTAATTATATAATAATTTGCCTGAGCCCGCGGGTTCGAGACCCACCTGGGCAACTTGTCGAGACAGTAAATAAAAAATCAGCCGGGCGTGGTAGCGCACGCCTGTAATTCCGGCAACTCGGAAGGCTGAGGCGGAAGGATCACTGGAGCACAACAGGCGAGGCTGCGGTGGCTGGGAGTGGCCACTGCACTCCAGTCTGGGCGACAGAGTGAGACTCCAATTCAAAAAAAAAAAAAAAAGAAAAAGAAAAAAATAATAATATAATAATTTCAGTAGCCAATATTATGCCATCTGTATCTCCACCCATGATTATTAACCCTTCCCCTGATTATTCTGAAGTAAATCCCAGACATCATACCATTTCATCTTTAATTATTTTGGTATGTATCCCTAAATGATAAGGACTCTTGAAACACGTAACCACAATACCACTAGTATACCTCAAATTATCAGTAGTTTCTTTAATATCATTCAGTGAAGTGATGAACTCATACGTTTTTATTTTTTCCTATTATATGAGTGATTTTTTTAAAGATTAAACCTAAAACTCCAATTACCACAGTAAGCCCATAACCTAATTATTTACTTAGTACATTTAGATAAACAGAATAACTAGTGTTTATTGATTGCTGCCTTAAGAGACTGAGAAAACCATCTCGTTAAAATTGAGTTCTTTACGTCTCACCATCCTTTTTTATTGTAACATTCAGGTTTTGACTATGATGGAAGAAAATGACACTGTAGAAAATATTGCAAAATTAGACCTGCAGGAATTTGGCCTGGATCTTGAAGAATTGGAAAGGCTTCATGATGAAAGTGAAGAAGATGTGGCAAAGGTGTGAAAAATGTAATTTAAGCACCATAGAGTTGTAGGGAAAGAAGTAAAAAGAAAATAGAAAGGGGAACTATTTCAGAATAATGTGAATATAACAAAATCTTTCTCACTATAATATAAATAAAGCAAATATAGTACATACAAGTATAATGAGTCAGAGATTCATTGGATTTGTGGGTTAGGAGCAAGGGCATCTAACCAACCAGACATCTGATATTTGTCTCTCCTCCATGACACTCACGCCAACTATTTCCCACTATATGTTTGAACAGTTTTGGATATCTCCTTATCCATCTCATGCCAATTTTGAACCCTTCTGGTTTAGTAAGCCCTTTCTTAATTAGAGCTGAAATCTTTCTCCTTGTACTCACTACTCCTTGTACTCTTAGAGCACCTCCTACTCCAAGGTCCCTCAGAGAGTAGCAGAAGAGATTAGCAATGACTCTTCTCATCTGAGCTAACTTTCCAAGCTCCTATCACCATCATATAATGTAGTTTTAATAGCTTCGTCATCATTATACAGTTTTCCTCTGAATTAATTATATTTATATATGGCACTCACAAAAGAATTTCAATGATTATCTATACAGTTTAGAAAAAAGCATGAACTGCAACTTCCGTTCATACTATACTTCTATTAATTCAGCCTTTGCATTTTTTTCTGATAGTCACATCAAACTGTTTTCTCATTTAGATTTTAAGTAAAAGCCCTAAGTTTGTTTTAAATAGGCTGTTCTTAAACTACTTCTTTCTCAACCTACTCGTAAGTTTGATTTTTTAAGGTGCAAATATAAAAACTTTTTTTCTCTGAAAAGGAAAATAAGATATAGCTAGATTTAAAGACCGTTAGATGGATTTTAACAGGTTAAACAACTACACCAAAAAGAGGCCCCTCCTTGCCATTTATCAAATTCCTGTGCATCCCTTGAGAATTCTCCTTTATCCTCTGAGGCAGGTTTTGTGGTACAGAGAAAGACTCTTCACATGCTACTTTCTCTTATAGTGTTTATTTTTCCTGTGCTCTGGGCTTGTGAAGAAATATTAACCCAGATGGGCTGCAGTAGTGACCCAGGAAAGAACTTGTTAGCATATGGTACCATAAACTCAGCTGACTTTCAGCATGTTTGGAAGCAGAATACTATTGCTTGGGGAGAGTTTATGGTACCTACCAGTCAGGGATTCCAATTCTAAAGAGACAAAGCCACTTAGCCAGCCCTGGCCAGGATCTCAACAATAGGAAAAAGACCAAAGTCCAATAATGACAATCTGGATGCAGTATTAGGGACTGAGTTGGGAACAGTTGATTTAGTAGCCTCACCAGGAGAGAGAGGAGAACTGCATGGGTTGGGAATCAGGTAGGTTCTGACAAACAACTGTTTATTTAGGAAAAAAAGTAATTCAAAACTATATTAGCCATTAACCCAATGGTTCAGAATCAAAGAGAAATAAATTGCAGGTTGAAATAATTTGATCAAGCAATGAATAAAATAAATAGAAATTACAAAAGATATAGTAAACAAAAAAAGGACATTTTGAAATCTGGGAGATAGTATTCTTAGCTAGTTTGCTAATAATTCTCCCAACAAAGTGAAATGCAAAAGAGAATCCTAAGGACTAAAGATTGTTGGGCCTCACTTTCATACCAGGTCTTTCAGTGAAAATTCTATTAAAATAAAAATACTTAATTACATAAATAATAAACAGTGGGATTACTTAAGCCGATAAAACTAATTGAAGCAACACATATGTTTCTAAATGGAAAAATATAAATCATATGATCCCTAAGAGTAGTAGAGCATTCTTTTTACAGTGGACATAAATGATAGAAGAATTAAGTGCAGTACAAACTCCCAGACAGAGATCACAAACTGGCACTTGAAATTTATGTTGGCAAATATTAAACCAACAATTAGTTATATAGCAGTTTCACATAAAAATATAAATTTCATACTTGTCTAATAACACAGGAAGCCTTGGCTCAGTGGTTTTGCTTCCTTGCTTTTCCAGCCAGCAGGATCTATGAGCATAAGCCAAGCAGCTCTCTGCCGTGATGTCTGTCCTCATGTCACTTCGCTTACATATGTGACCCGACTACCCGTAGCTAAAGGCACTGTGTGTCCTCAAGGAAGGGAATGTAAGCCCTCAGAAATAAACTTCAGGAGCATTCTCAAAGGCAGGGATGTGTTCCTCAAAGTGCATTTCATTACATGGCAGCTCAAAGTGTTGGGGAAAGACAACCACATTTTACCACTGAATGTGGAGCTAACAACTACCTAGTGATTTTACAACAGAGATTATTGTTTCTGAAGTCACATTTTCATTTTATCTTTTCCCTTTGTCTGTGTTTTTCAAGATAAGAAAGGATATAGAGATGCATAACTTAGCCAAGAGATATTTGGCTGAACTTATCAAAGAAGAATGCTGGAATTCAATGGCTGTGAAAGGTCGATCTCTTAAGGTAACAGATAGAACCACAGGTACAAAACCTGATGAAAATTGTCATTGAAAGTCTCATAGCAGGACATTTAAAACTTTAATAAGTCTATCCTACTCAGTGATCTATCACAGAAAGAAAGATCTGAGTACCACATGTACTCACTCATAAGCAGACTCTGAATGTTTATCATAATACTATAAGAAAGGGATTGGCAGTAGTAGGACACTGCCGGGGGGGGCATATAACATCAATAAGGGTACCTAAACTTTACTTGTATGATGACCATGTATGTTCCTAACCCTGAATCATTCCACCGTCTTTAAAATTAAAATTAAAATTAAAAAAAGAAAATCCATACATAACAAAGAACTGAAAGCATACTTTGCTCCTTCCTATACTGAAGCCTACCTAGATGTGTCTCTGTCTCTTAACTCCTTCTCCCCCTCTGCTCAGTCCTTGTGTGCTTCCAAGTCAGAGTTTCTGAAGATTTATCTTAGCATTTCTTTTCCTTCTTACCTTCCTGCATTCGGGTCTTAATAATTGTCTATTCCAAAAGACCACCTCACTCACATACTGCACAGATTAAAAGGTAGGTAAAATCTAGTTCACATTTCTACCCGTGCCTGACTTCCTCCTGATACAACTTTCCTCTTTGTGCAGGGTGACAAAAAGTCTTGGTTTATGCCTGTGGTCCTAGAGTAACTATTAACAGCACCCTTTTTATGTTCAAATATGTTCCCAGCATGGATAAAAAAGTATACAGTCACTCTACATTATGTGATTATTACTCTAGAACTGGGTTTCTCATGAGCCACATATTTTGGGCTGAATCATTCCTTGTTGTGGGAGCATCCCTGGCTTCTATCTACTAGAGACAGCATCCTTTACCCCCAATGATAATAATAAATGTCTCCAGGCATTGCCCAGTATTCTGAGGGGAAGGGGATAAGGGAGGGTGGAAAGTGGACAAAACTGCTTCTAGTTGAGAACTACTCTTCTGGAAATAAATCCTTCACAAAAGTACAGCAGTTTATACCAATTCTAATGGCATACATTGTTTGATTTCTAAAGGAATTTTCCATTGTCAATTTTACTCATGCATGATAACCTATAGGTTAATTATAATCAGAGAAAGCATCTATTACTTAACCTCCAGATACACACAATTGTAGAAAAATTGATTTATTTCATCTTGCTTTTTTTTCCCCCAAGTGCTTTCATATTCCCTGTGTGGTAGAGAACTTTCCAATGAAAGCACGCACAGCTGAAGAGCTGAAAGAATTGGAGAGAGTTTTGCAACAAAAGAAGATTGAAGCAGAGTGTCTTAAGGTACAATTTTAAATTTATGTATGTGTTTATACAAGTGATATACTTTATTTTAGAGTCTCCTTCATACAGATCTGAATTGGGATCAATTTAAGATAAATTTAGATATTGTATGTGTTTATAGTTTTATTTCTTGTTAATTTGTAGAATAAACTCTAATGAATATAGTAGCCTATGTCTTATACTGGCTAACTCTCAAATACAAGGATATACTTTTAAAAATGAGATTTGTGATTTTCTTCTTATCCTGCATAGAGGCTGTCTTAAGCTTAATCCACATATACTCTTTTTATCCTCTCTTGTCGCTAGCTATTGTATTTTAAGATAATTGACCCAGGATGAAGTTGAATCTGTTTTGATGGAATTATGGATTTCTTAAATCCCAACTTTTTAAATAAATATCTCTGTCAAACCGCTAAAAAAAAATTATCCTTTAGTGTAGTTTTGTTTTAGCCAGAACTTTGTGTCCTCTCTTTTGCCAAAATAAAATGCACGCATGCTTAATTCTTCTTAATCTTCACCCACCAGTCCTATGTGAACAAGTTTCTTTGCAAAATATGAAGAAAATATTTAAGTGCCAAGAAAGACTCAAAATATTTACAAGCAAGTGTCATCCTGACAGAAAAATGTAAATATTACATACCATCAAGGACAATTTTTACTTCTTTGATTTTTGTCCATAGTTTATTAGTTTTTGAAGCTTTCGTATCTTCTGCAGCAGTTTCAGGATCTATCACTTTGAATTCAGTTGTTGACAAAACAATTTAACACATTAAGATGATTATTGAAATAATTAAGTTGCCACAAAATTGCCCTTTAGAGAATTCGTATTATTGTATAACTTCCATGTCATCTTTTTCTATATTTAGCTCCATAAGGAAGTTGTAGAGATTCAGTCTGCAGTTGCTTTGGTTAAAAAGCATCATGAAGAGGATGATGAAGAGGAAGATGAAGACAAGATTACAAAACATACCAACTTGCCCAATTACCTGCTTGGGAGTCTGAGTACTGATTTTGGGGTAGATACCTCTTTGTTGTCAAGCCAGTTGGAACTTCATTCCAGAGAGGAAAAAGTCAACCAAATTATATTACTGAAAGTGGGTGAATTTTCTTTTTTATCCTAAAAAAAAATCTTTAAAACTCCCCCATCAGGTGTCTTTCAAGGGCTTACATTGAAGTTAATCAAATTATGTTTTTAAAGTACATAGAGGAATATAGAGATGGCTAATGTCTATGTCCTTTAGATAGGATCTTGTATACCAAGAGTTACAGTCAACCATTTGGATTGGGTTCTATGATACCAAGTTTTCTAAAGAACATTCCACACTGGCTGACACCACAAGCCAGTCTTCTACTTATATCTTCAGTAAGCTCTAAGAGAAACACTCGAATTTCATTTTCTTGGTAACCCAGTTGTGAATTAGGATCTCCTTGTAAGATCAAGATGTGACTGCTTATCTATTCGTTTAAACTGGTGTGGGGGGGGGAGGGAGGAGAATTACCTAAGATTTCTGTAAAGTTTGGGATTTGAGAATAAAGTATGAGGTCTATCTGGCTCTAATCTCCTACTCTTTACTCTCTACCAAACAAGTCTGTCTCAGAACACATCTGTATATGTAAAAAGTCCCTACTGATGGTTTCTGAAAATGCAATGACTGAAATTGCACCTAAGAAGATAGTTTGAAATTTAATGTTGACTCTTCCCGTTTCTGCAAGTCCTTCAGCAATGTCCGCAGTTTGAATTCTAATTTCCTGCTGTGTTCTCAGCCCCCTCTTTCTATCCTTTTCTATTCTAGCCCCTGAAATTCCTGTTCCTGTCTACTCAGAACCATTTAGTTGTCTCTTTTATTACTCAGCTTCTACCAAACCATGCCTTCAGGATCTTACCTTCTTGGTATATTCCTACAAGGAGGTAATTTCAGCCCAAGAGAAATTCTTGTGCTGTCTGTTAAGATCATTTATTTCTCCCTAGTTTAATGATTTTATCTTCAGTAAGATAGATTTATAGACTGAACTTTGATGGTATCATAAGGCCCCTTTGAGTTGACTCATCAGCAGCAGTAGGAACGATCCAGAAATGACTAATCTAGCTGGCTAGCTCAGGTTACCTTAAAATGACCTATTCATATAGAGGAAGAGTATTGCATATGGCGATACTTCTCTGACCATCTCTTCTCCACATTTCCTTCAAACAATGTTCCAAAGAAGTCACACCAATCTAAGACCGTATATTGCTTTTTTAATATTTTATGATGGGGTTTAAATAAAAGTAGAGAAAATAGCACACTTGAACCTCCAAGTACCCATGACACACTTCAGCATTTGTCAGCATATCTGCATTTGAGTTAAAACTGACATTTCAGGAATCGGGTTATGGTGTAACAGTCACATCATTGCCTTAGTTCTACCCATGATTGGATGCCACTGTAGATTACTGAACCAAGAAATGACTTGGTATAACAATATTCCAGAAAGATTTGTTTTACCTTCTTAAAAGATAGTTTTAATGATGATTTTGAAGGGGACGTGTAACTTGGAATAATGTTGCCAGTAAAGATATAATTTGTGGAGTGTTTTAAGTAACATGTTGATATTTCAGGATATCATTTACAAGGTAAAAACTGCTTTCAATAATGAGTTTGATGTTGCATATAAACAAAAAGAGTTTGAAATGGCACGTGTGAAGGAAAGAAATGTTAGAATTCAAGAAATTATTTTTGATCTGGACTTGGAAGAAACAACCTGGCAACCAGAATTTGAAAACTGTGAGAAGCCAGAGAGAACCCTTGTAGTGCAAGATCAGGAGGTACTGGCCAATTGTGTGTTTCCTTTCCTTCTTTCTCAGGAGATTTTCCCCAGTCCCCATTTATTCATCTTGGTTACACTACTGGAAGCAACTATATTAGGTAGCACTCTCAGATACAGGTAAGAAAAACAGGTGACATCACCTCAGGCATCTGAGGGTTTATTTTATGAACCCCATGGAGTTCAGGGAAGATTTGGACTGAGCCTGAGAGGAAACAGGAACCAAAGACAAGAGTCTTACAGGAAGTCCAGAAACCCCCTTTATTCATCTCTTAGTTCACTTTTCTTTGCATTCTTACTTCCTCTAGCAATTTCCACTTTGTATCTCCTCCACTCAAGAAAGCAGTTGGTCTGAATTAAAATCTCTTAGTCCCAATTCCTGGTTTTCCTAAAAAGGGGTTCCTTGGTCCAGCTTGAGGCCAGTGCCTGTACCTAGGGAGAGTGGGTCACCTTGTAGGAACAAAGGTGATGGAGCTCCAGTAATTATCTAGGTCATTTAGGTAGTATGGTTCCCAGAGAAAGGGGACTCTCTGGGCAGCCTTCTTGAAAGGTACAGAGGCAGTTGTAAATAAATGCTTAAAGAAAACAAGTAAAATATTATCATGTTTCTTTTTTTCCCTTTTTTCTTTTTTTTTTTTTTTGAGTTGGAGTCTCACTCTGTCGCCCAGACTGGAGGGCAGTGGCTGTTCCCGGCCACTGCAGCCTCGACCTGCTGGACTCCGGTGATCCTTCTGCCTCAGCCTTCCGAGTAGCTGGAATTACAGGCACGTGCTACCATGCCCAGCTGATTTTTTTTTTTAATTGTAGAGATGAGGTCTCGACAAGTTGCCCAGGGGGGTCTCGAATTCGCGGGCTCAGGCAATCCACTCACCTCAGCCTCCCAAAGCGCGGGATTACAGGCTGAGCCACTGAGCCTGCCTCCTTTTTTCTTTTCTTTTATTTATTTTTTATTTTTTTGAGACAGTTCTCAGGCTGGAGTGCAGTGGTGTGATTATATCTCACTGCAGCCTCAAATTCCTGGACTCAAAGAATCCTCCTTTCTTAGCCTCCTGAGTAGCTGGGACTTCAGTCATACATTACCACTCCCAGATAATTTTTTTTTTTTTTTTGCAGTGATGGGGTCTCACTATGATGCCCTCACTACTCTCAAGCTCCTGACCTCAAGCAATCCCCTGTCTCAGCCTCCCAAAGTGCTAGGATTATAGGCATGAGCCATCATGCCTGGCCTCCATATTTTATTTTTTTAGAAGCAGAGAAACAAAAACAGAACAAAACTACAGAATACTCAAAGAAAAATCCTTTACATGAAACCAACTTGATTACTGGGAGCAAAAGATAATAGTGGTATTTAGAAGTAATAGCAAATATTTTTACATTCTCTGTTGGGAGCTGGGCACCATTCTAAGTGCCCCAACTAGACTGAGGCAAAATCATCCTTATAAATAAGACTATATTGATAGTACCTCCCTTTTACAGATGAGGAAAGTAAGGCATAGAGAGGGTAATTAGTTTAACCATGTTACACAACTAGTGAATGTCAAAATTGGGGGTTTGCACCTAAGTCATCATGATTCAGAGTTCATCCTCTTAACCTGTGCACTCTGCTGTACTTGTTTAAGCAAATTGTTTTTTCCTGAGCAAGTGACAACCAGGACCTCACCCTACTGTTCTCAGAAGGATCCTGCTCCAGGCAATCACATTGTACCTGCTTTTCCTTGTGCTTTAATTCATTTAACAGTTAGAGTGATGATGTTATCAGTCAATTGTGTCTCTCCACTGCCTAATCCCTTGTAGTGGCTGCTTATTTCACTTTAGGATAAAGCCCACAAGCCCCTTCCTGACTGCCCCCCACCCCACCTCTTTTCCAGCTGCTCTCCTGTCTGGTTTTGTTCTGGCCACACTTTCATTCTCACAGTTACATGAATGCCCCAAGCTTTTGACTTCTCAGAACCCCTATCCTTCAGGATTTTGCTTAGATGATACTTCTTTGAGGCCTGCCTCCCTTCTTCTTTAAATGTAAATCAGGCCCCCTGTTATAATCTCTCTAGTGGCAGAGACAAGTTTTGAAAGCTAATAGAGAAATAAAGATCTATTTTTCCAACCCTCTCATTTGAGACCTCATCTTCATTCCAAAATAGAAAATTGATTGCAAAGTCTAGATAATCCCTTTAATCCTCTTTAATATCTTCTAGCCTCTTCTCGGTATGTGGAAGAAAAGATTGGTTTGGATTTTGTAATAATAACAGCAGGAAACTGCATTTTCTCTTTTAGATTACAGCTCAAAAACATGTTAAGCCATGGGAAAAAGTCAAAACAGATTTGCTCAAGACCCGTGGAATGGATCATTGGCTTCTGACACATGTATGCAGTTTTGCTCACATAGTACCTAAGACCCTCTTTCCTTATACTTATATTCATTCATTCATTATTCATTCTCTCTCTCTCTCTCTCTCTCTCTCTCTGTCTTTCTCTCTCTCCCCAGAGGGTACATGTGTTGGTTTGTTACAAAGATATATTTTTTTGATAGGTGAGGTTTGGGCTTCTATTGAGCTCATTACCAGCTCATTGGCATGGTAACCAGTGGGTAGTTTTTCAACCCTTATTCCCTTCCTCTCCCCTACTTTAGGAGTCCTCAGACTCCGTTGTTCCCATCTTTATGCCCGGGTGTGTCTAGTGTTTAGCTCCCACTTAAAAGTGTGAACATGTGTCATTCAGTTTTTGTAATAATTTTCTTAGGATGATGATCTCCAGCTGCATCCATGTTGCTGCAAGGGACATGATTTTGTTCTTTTTTTAATGGCTGAGTAGTGTTCTATTGCATATATGTACCACATTTGCTTTATCCAGTCCACCATTGATGGGCACCTAGATTGGTTCCATGTTTTAGCTATTGCATATTGTGCTGTGATAAGCATACAAGTTCAGGTGTCTTTTTGGTAGAGTCGTTTATGCTCCTTTAGGTATATGCCCAGTAGTGGGGTTGCTTTGGTAAATCTATTTTTTAGTTATTTGAGAAATCTCAGAACTGCTTTCCACATCTTACATTCCCACCAACAGTGTACATGTGTTTCTTTTTCTCTACAACCTTGTCAACATCTGCTGTTTTTGATGAGAATTTTGGGGAGTTTTTTGTTTGTTTGTTTTGAGTTGGGATCTCAATCTGTTGTCCCAGCTGGTACAGTAGCACAGTCACAACTCACAACACCCTTGACCTCCTGGCTCAGACGATTCTTTCACCTCAGCCTCCTGAGTAGCTGGCACTACAGTCACATGCCACTATGTCCAGTTTATTTTTTGATTTTTTGTAGACATGAAGTCTCGCAATGTTGCCTAGGCTGGTCTTGGACTCCAGGGCTCAAGCAGTTGTCCTGCCTTTGATCTCCAAAACTGCTGTGATTATAGATGTGAGTCATTGCACCTGGCCTTGACTTTGTAATAACAGCCATTCAGACTGTCTTATATTCTATCATAGAAACACATCAACACATATGTCATGGTCAAAGGTCACTCACATCTCAGTTGGCCTCCATCTCCACTGCCCACTTTCCCCGTCCCAAATGCAGTTATTTTAACCTTGGGTGAGAGGCTGTCCCTGGTGCTACCCAGAGTGTCAGAACTCTGTCTTCATTGCCCTTTGTGATTCTGACTCTTTTCCAGGGCACTGATACAAGACTCCGAGCCTTAATGGACATGATGGGAGGAGTTCTAGAAGTCAAGAAGGAAGACATTTTGAGAATGGTGAGATTTCTGACCATCCTTGTGTAAGGTGGAAGGAGGCAGAAAAAGCTATTTAAATTTTATGACTTTTGTCCTATATGAACCCGAGTTTTAGAAATTCTACAGCAACAAAAATTACACCACCTTCTAGTACCTTATAAACATAACACATTAGGCAAATAAGAAATTTGAAGCTGCAGGTTTGCCTTCCAATTTAACAAGAAGCAAACAAATAAATGAACGAAAATAAGTATCCACAGTGGCTTTGGTCTGTACAGAAGGCAGGGATACTGCTTCATTTGTAATTTCCCAGATGTATCAGGAAACATTTTCTTTGATACTCAACATATGAGAGGGGACCCCACAAAAACCATAATTTATTTATTAAAAATTGTGTATTTGTTCTTACATGTTTATTTTTTTATTTTTATTTTTTTATTTTTTTTGAGTTGGAGTCTCACTCTGTCGCCCAGACTGGAGTGCAGTGGCCGCTCCCAGCCACCGCAGCCTCGACCTGCTGGGCTCTGGCGATCCTTCCGCCTCAGCCTTCCAAGTAGCTGGAATTACAGGCATGCGCTACCACGCCTGGCTGATTTTTTGATTTATTGTAGAGATGAGGTCTCGCTGCCCAGGCAGGTCTCGAATCCACTCACCTCAGCCTCCCAAAGGCGCGGGATTACAGGTTGAGCCACCGAGCCCGGCTTGTTCTTACATGTTTAAATTTAAGTCACCTTTCAAGCACTCTCTGTTTGATGTAATACACCTATCAATATGCTTTTTCCACACTCACGACAGTTTTTGAACTTATCAATTTTGATGCCTTTTAGTGCTTCTGTGTTTTTTGTTTCACCTCTTCCACATTGGCAAAATGTTTCCCTTTGGGGAATTTTCTCATCCAAGGAAACCAAAAAAAGTTTCCTTGGGTGACATTTGGGTGAATAGAGCGGATGGGGCATGGGGGTTGTGCCATTTTGGGCCAAAAACTGCTGAACACTCAGCACAGCATGGGCAGGTTATTTGTATAAGTAACCCATTATGAAACGGGCAAATGCATTGAAAGAATCTCCAAAAAAATTTTCACTGAAGCTGAATGCAGCCTCTCACAACAATGCTAGCTGGTACACCAATGCTGATGGGTTCCTAGAAGACTTACCTAGCAAGGGAAGCCTGTGCTACAAGGGGCCTGCCCTCCAAAAGATAATTCCAGGTTTTCTTGGGTTCCCGTCACAAGTGTTCCTGGAGCTCAGGTGTAGCTTTAGCTGTAAAGATAACAGCACACACTTCTGAGTTTATCATCTAAGAGTCTGGTTGTATCCTGTACTATCCCCCCTCACCTAAGTCACAGAAAAACAGTCATAACATTTAAAAAATATCTGTGGTCAAGGTGTCAGGTCATTGTCCTTGTCAACGTGAAGGATTATACCCTTTTAAAGGACTTTTTTTTTTTTAACTGGAATGATAAGTCTGAGTCTTTGCTGTGCTACCGCATGTATGTTTGAGCTAGAGTACATACTTTTCTTTCTATTTTTAGGTGATTCCTCAACCTGCTTTCATGGCAAAATCAGATGCTCTGTGGTCTGAAGAAGAAAGGAAACAATTCAGAGAGTATGAGAAAAAAGTCAGGGAGTTAAATGAAGAAAGAGATAAGTACAGAAAGGTCAGAAAAGCAAAGAATTAATATAACCTGCCATATCCAAGGTTTTGTTTCAATATGTTTTCAAATGTTCTTTATTTTTTCAGTACTTTAATAGCTTAAGGATAGTGTGTCAGTTTAAATTCTCAAGATAATTTAGAGAAGTAGGTGGAAATAAATTTAAGGAGTTAGAACAATTTAAAACAAAAGGAATATGTAGCAATGGTTTTTTGGGGGTTTTTTTTGAGTTGGAGTCTCACTCTGTCACCCAGACTGGAGTGCAGTGGCCGCTCCCGGCCACCGCAGCCTCGACCTGCTGGGCTCCGGCGATCCTTCCACCTTAGCCTTCCGAGTAGCTGGAATTACAGGCACGCGCTACCATGCCCGGCTGATTTTTTGATTTATTGTAGAGATGAGGTCTCGCTGCCCAGGCGGGTCTCGAACCTGCGGGCTCAGGCAATCCACTCACCTCAGCCTCCCAAAGGCGAGGGATTACAGGCTGAGCCACCGAGCCCGGCTTAGCAATGGTTTTTAAAGGTTCTTATTGATTTCAACGTTTCCCACAACATTATAACTCATTTGGTCCTTCATTCATTCTTCAAATGCTCAATGAACACCTATTATAGCATGTCTAAGCCAAAGCAAGATATTGTTCTAGATTGTTTATATTTGAATTTAGTGATAATTTGCTTGATTTGTTCTTCGTCTCAAGGAAAGGATTTGGAAAAGGTATTATACAATCAATGTAGCACATTCTTTACAATTCTAACTTGAGGTTTTTGCAATGCATTTCTGCCACTTTTATCTCCTTCCAGTTGCAAAGAAACAGTCTCACATTAAAATTGCTTATAATTACAGTGGGGATGTATAAGATGATGGTATGCAACCAAGTAACTAATATTTAGTCTTCTGTGGAGAAAATAAAATCATACTACTATTTGAGGTAGGACAGCTTGCCAGGTTGCTAGTGGCTATGTCTCATGAACAGCTTCTTTAAATCTGTCATTAATCTGTCTATGTATGTTTTTATTCACAGAAGTTCCCCACATCCCTTGCATTTTAACCTAAGATTGTACTTACCTAAAGTCAAAACCAGTAATACTGAAAAAAATGAAGATTTTTAAGGAGTAAGGACGTATAGATGTCAAAGGAATAGAGGGTGGTGACCTTTCAACTGCATTTACTCCCACAGTTTTGTTACATAAAATAGTCTCCCACCTGCACCCTCACTTTCTGGCTCCTTATTCATACTTACCTACTGAAACCCCAACCTCAATTAAATCTAGTACTCTGCCTTCTCTGTACCTGCACCCATGCAGTGGAAAAAGAAAAAAAACTATTGGCTGGTTTCTCTCTAAATTAATGATCTTAATCTCAGTTGGTGCTTAGGGTTGCTCAGCAGTGTTACTCCATTTTCCCCCTAGCTCAGCACTCTCACTCTGTAACCGAGGGTGGAGTGCAGTGGTGTGATTCCAGCTCATTGCAGCCTCAACCTCCTGGACTCAAGTGATCTTCCTATCTTAGTCTCCTCAGTAACTGGGGCTACTGATACATGCCACCATGCCTGGCTACTTTTTTTTTTCTTTTGTGGAGATGAGGTCTTTATGTTGCCCAGGCTGTTCTCAAACTCCTGGGCTCAAGTGATCCTCCTGCCACAGCTTCCCAAAGTGCTGAGATTACAGGTATGAGTCACTGTGCCTAGCCTACAGCCCATATTTAATTACCCTATGGTCCAAGTAATGTCCCTCATAGTTTTTTGTTGCTGTTAATCCAAAAGTCTAATTAATTGTACTTTGTTTTCTTTTCTTTTTCTTTTTTCTTTTGGTCTCCTTTAATCTAGAACAGTTCTACAGCTTTGTGTGCATGTGGGTTCCATGACATAGACTTTTAAAAAAAAAAATCGAGGCTAGTTGTTTTGGGGAATTCCTCAAGTTGCATTTGATTGTTTTCTCATTATTAGATTTAGGTAAATACTATGTCTTCAGTGCATTATATCAGAAGGTACCTGATGTCAGTTAGTCCCACTATTGGTGACATTAAATATTGTCATTAGTAAGGATGTGCTCTCCAGATTTCTTTATTATGCAAGTTCTCTTTCTCCTTTGTATTTAATGACAAATCTTTGGAGTGACATTTTGAGATTGTGTGACTCTCTGTTCATTCTGTCTTTTGGCATTTATTGATGACCCTTGCCTGAATCATTATTACAGTGAATGCAAAATGGTTCCTTTAGTTTTTATCATTTGTTCTATATTTATTAGTATTATTCTTCAAAGAAGAGCTTTCTCTCTGCCTTACCCCAGTCCCACTCTTTCTTAAAAATATTATTTTTAAAACATAATGTATTTTAATCCAGTACTGTCAATATTCTTTCTGATGTTCAAAGTTTTTCGAACTTCTTCAAGTTGTCATCTGTGTCCTTTTCACATATTCTTGTCAGTTTTTGAGCATTTTCTCCATTTCTAACACAAGATGTTCTGGGCATCTAAAATCAGGTTTTGCTTTGTTTGTTTGTTTGTTTGTGTAAATCCCTGATTCCTTCTACTGGGAATTATTATTCAGAGACCAAAATATGGGCACTAGATGTGCTCAATTGCTATAAGGGTAGTGAGTCATTACCATTAGCTCATTTCAGTGAACAGAACTGAAATCCACCCCCCCAACACACACACATGCACACACAGTTGCCTCCAGTTCCAATTTACAAGCACAGGATTATTTCTCTTTCCTTCATTTAATATTTAGATTTCCTTTTTCAATGAAAACTCTAGTTCAAGATATTAAAAAAATTTACTCATTTGCTCATTCCTACAGTATACATAAAATACCCCTATCAAAAACAAGTTTAGTGAGTGGATTGCCTGAGCCCGAGGGTTCGAGACCCGCCTGGGCAACTTGGCGAGACCTCATCTCTACAATAAATCAAAAAATTAGCTGGGTGTGGTAGCGCGCGCCTGTAGTTCCAGCAACTTGGAAGGCTGAGGCGGAAGGATGGCCGGAGCCCAGCAGGTCGAGGCTGCGGTGGCTGGGAGTGGCCACTGCACTCCACTCTGGGCGACAGAGTCAGACTCCAACTCAAAAAAAAAAAAAAAAAAGTTTACTTCATCAATTTTAAGATTTCCTTTTATCTTTTTTTGTCTTAGGATTTGTCCCACAGAGAGTATACCACCAGCATATTATACTGAGAAATGTTTGGACTAATTATTTTTCTCTCTTTCTGTATGGATGTTATTAGTTTGCTATAGAGTTAAGTTCTTTAAGCCAGCTGTCCCCAACCTTTTTGGCATCAGGGACCGGTTTTGTGGAAGATAGTTTTTCCATGGAGCTGAGAGTGGGATAGGGATGGTTTCAGTATGATTCAAGAATGATTACATTTATTGTGCGCTTTATTTATACTATTATTACATTGTAATATATAATGAAATAATTATACAACTCACCATAATGCAGAATCAGTAGGAGCCCTGAGCTCGTTTTCCTGTAACTAGATGGTCTCATCGGGGGTGATGGGAGACAGTGACACCTGAAGTGTGTTGCTTATGTCCATTCTACTCCATAATCTCGTTTTGGTTGCTATCACTGCAAAACAACAACAACAACAAAAATCCCTGCTTTGCAAAGATAGGCTATTGGAAATGGAAGCTGGCTTTTTGGTGCTTTTGTGGCAATCTCGGAATATTCTGTCTTGACTTTACTCCAGAATATATGGAGATTTGAAATTGTCTGATACATACTTTTAAGGCCATCGTCATTTGCGATCTCGAGCAGTTGATCTTCTTCTATCATGGACAAAGTCGATTTACCCACCTGGCATATTCACAAATGGGTTGTGGATCCATTCCTTCCCAGTTAAGGGTCTTTTGTGATTGGAAAGTAATTCTCAAAGTCTTTTGAAAGCTGAGATAGGTGATCATGCATCAGCTGGTATAAAGGAAGCCCTGGCTCAGTCTCTTTCAAAATCTCCGCTAATGTTTGAAACATGTCAAAAATCCCAATGTTCGCTCATCGTTCCCATAATTCTAGTTTGGCTTTGAATATAGCCACTTTGTCTGCTGACTTGAACACAGTTGTTCTCCCCTAAAGTGACAGATTGAGTTCATTGAGCAGGTTGAAATTGTGACACAAGTAAACAAATTTTGCAACGCATTCTGTGTCACTGAAGCTGGTGAATACGGTTTTTCTAAAAGAAATCTCTGGAGCAAAACTTGTAATTCAAAAACTCTGGTCAGTGATCTATCTTTAGAAAGCCATCTCACTTCCATGTATGAGAGAATATACATGTCCTCACAGAGCTGCATGAACAGATATGAGTTAAGGCATGTACTTTAATGTGTTTGATCATTTTAACTGCATCCTGTAAAATGTTGTTAAGTTCAGGTGACATTTTTCGGTTAGCCAGCATTTCTCTTTCAACGACACAGTGTGTAGACTCACTTTCAGAAGCAACCTCTTTAACCCAAGTAGTGAAACCAAAAAGCTGCGCATTTATGGCAGCCAATCCATCCGTGCGTATACCGACATAAAATGACCAATTCAGTTTTGCTGATATGTAATCATTCAAAGATTTGAATAGCTCTGCAGCTGTGGTATTGGTTGGCAACAAAAGTGTATATAACATATTCTCCTGCACATCCTCTTGAAAAATATATCATGCAAAAACTAGCACCGTTGCCTTGTTGTCAATATTTGTAGACTCGTCAACCTGGATTGTGTGCCATGGTGACTTATTAATCCTCTCTAACAATTGTGCATCCATATCATCTGCTAGTTCATTAATTCGCACATGCCACCTTTTGAACTGCAGCTTCTCCTAAAAGTTAATGACTAAAATGTCCTTAGCAGCAGACAGGACCAACTCTTCATCAATAGTAAAGCACTTCTTAAGCTTTAGCAATGTGGTTAGTCACTTAGAATAATGCTCTCAGTGCAGACATATTTAATGAAGTGATGGCCTTCAATAATTGCTTCTGTTCTTTGTGTTAACATTTTTTTCTTTTGAAAAACTCCAAAGCCTTGTCTTTTAA